AACTCAAAAAAAAAAAAGAGAGAGGTGGCAGCTTCGTGTGTGTTACTGCCCCTGAAGACCTTCCATTGTGACAAGATGTGAAAGTGGAAGACAGTGATATTGATGATTCTGACCCTTTGTAGGCCTAAGCTAATGTGTATCTTTGTGTCTCAGTTTTTAACAAAAAAGTTTAAAAAGTAAAAATATGAAGTAAAAAATTTTTAATAGAAAAAGCTTATAGAATAATGGTATAAACAAAGAAAATATGTTTGTACCGCTGTACAGTGTGTTTGTGTTTTAAGTGTCATTATAAAACACTCAAGAAGTTAAAAAAAATTTTTGTTTTGTTTTTTTGAGTTGGAGTCTCACTCTATCACCCAGACTGGAGTGCAGTGGCCACTCCTGGCCACCGCAGCCTCGACCTGCTGGGCTTCGGCGATCCTTCCGCCTCAGCCTTCAAATAGCTGGAACTACAGGCACGTGCTACCACGCCCGGGTCATTTTTTTTTTTATTTATTGTAGAGATGAAGTCTCACCAAGTTGTCCAGGCGGGTCTCGAACCCGCGGGCTCAGGCAGTCCACTCACCTCAGCCTCCCAAAGGCATGGGATTACAGGCTGAGCCACCGAGCCTGGCTTTAAAAAAATTTTAAAGTTTAAGTAGAAAAGTTATGGCAAGGTAGGCTTAATTTATCATCATAAAAGGAAAAAAATTTAAAATAAATTAGTATAGCCTAAGTGTCCATTGTTTATAAAGTCTGCAGTAGTGCACAGTAATATCCAAGGCCTTCACATTCACTCTCTTCTCACTCACTCCCCCAGAGCAACTTCCAGTCCTGCAAGTGCCGTTCATGTTGTATACCCTATACAGGTGTACCTTTTAAAATTTTTTGTGCTATATTTGTACTGTCCTTTTTCTGTGTTTAGATACACAAATATTATTGTATTACAGTTGCCTATAGTAATTCAGCACAGTAACATGCTTTACCAGTTTGTAGCCTAGGAGCAGTAGACTTGGCCATATAGCCAAGATGTATTGTAGGTGGTACCATTTCAGTTTGTGTAAGTACACTCTAGAATGTTTCCAAAATGACAAAATCGCCCAAAAATTCATTTCTCAGAAGGTGTCCCTGGCATTAAGTAGCACATGACTGTCCTTTTAAAAATTTCTTCTGTTTACTATTTTTAAATTTTTCTTTAAGGAAATACACATATTTGGCAATAAACATGATTTTAATGCATTTGATTGTCAATTGTATTGTATTTTTTTAATCTTTATTTTATTTTGTAGAGACGAGGTCTTGCTATGTTACCTAGGCTGGTCTCGAACTCCTAGGGGCAAGTAATCCTCCTTCCCGGGCCTCCCAAAGCGCTGGGATTGCTCCAGGTGTTAGCCACCACGCCTAGCCATGATTGTTAATTTTAAATTAAAGCCACAGATGGTGCTGGCACATGGTGGTATTAAATTAAAAAAAAAAGAAACTACACCTCTAACATCATTTTGCTTCCATGATGAAGATTTAAGGCTTTCCCTTAAACACACCTTGGAATCAGGCTTGAAGGAGACGCCTGCTGCACTC